AAGTTGAGGCCACGGCCGTTTTCCTCTGGGTCCAGGAGGAAGGATGTATCATGTGAAAATGAAGGGCCAGCGTATTCCAGCAGAGCCAGAGCAGAACCTGCAGGGATCTGGGACGGAGGTCTGGTTTGGGTGGGGCACAGGGTGCCTGGGTAGGGTACCACAGGAGGTGGAGCTGATACATCAGGCTGAGGGCAGCCTGCATTCCACGTTAATGGGTTTGGGCTTCATCCTTAGGACTCTGGGGACCCGTTTTTTTTTTCCCCCCGGCAGTAAAGAATGCTGATCACATTTGTATACTAGAAAAGAAACACTAGTGTGTGATGGAGCGACTACATTGGATGGATTGCATGGAAAGAGAGGGCAGAACCCAAACAGAGTCTAAGTTAGCAATAACATTTAACTTTCAAAAAAAATACACAGAATGTTTAAAAAAAAAAAAAATTGAGGTCCTTTATTCATAGAGGGTAGGTCCTGAGATTCTAACATCTTAATGTCCTTTGTAAAATGATTGTCTGCTGTGACGGGCAGCAGTGACTTCCTCTATAGGTAAGACATGGTGTGGGCTACCTACTGCCCGGAGGGGTGGCAGCAATGGGGCTGAACAGCACCTTCCCAGGGCTGGTGTCGGGGAAGAGGGGCAGAGTCCCTTCTAACTGGGAAATGTCTCTGTGCTGTAAGAGGAGGGAGGGAAAGACAGTTCTGAATTAACAGTTGGAGCTCCTTTTTTTTTCACAGAAACGACGTTACACATGGTGGTCAGGCTACAAGGCTGGTCTCTTCAGTGAGCAGCAGAGTGCCTGACATCCAGCCCATCTGCAACTTTATTATTATTTTGTCTTCTGGATATTTCTAACAACAACCAGACTTCTGGAAAATGACTTGTTTGTTAAGTGGGGACTGATTACCTGTGGTTAGCTGTTAGAATCATGCTAGTCCATTAGATCTAAATTCAAGACTCCTGGAGAATAACATGTGTTGTTGCAAAGGAAATACCACCCCGAATACTGGCTTGAAAACATTTCTATTTAAAAATGAGTCACAATGTTTTTTATTAGAATAGAACTTTATTCATGGCATCAAGATTTTTAAAAATGATTTTATACTTTAAAGTATGCAATAAATTTTGATACATTAATCTTGATATATATTTACCATATCTGAAGATTTTTTTAAAATAATGTCAAATAGCTTATAATCAAAGCAAAATTGTGTTTAACTTGGTATTTATATGGAATAATTTCAACATTATAAATTAAAAAAACAAATGCCATTTAAATTTGAGTTAGGACGAATGCATTTGAAACACAATTTTGTGTCTTTGTTAAAATTTTTGATTACAGAGAAAATGTAGGCTAAAATTATGCGCTTACAATTTCTAGAAAAGTATGATGTCCTTGCTGTATGAAATGACCCTACTCTCCAGTAGAATGCCTTTTGAGATACTTTTCTATCTGGGGTGAAGGGCTGTGTTGCTCCATCAGGATCCTTCTGGACCATCAGTCCACACCAGGGAGAAGAAGGGGAGGACTGTCTGTGGCTGCAGCTGGTGGGAGTGAGTCTGGCTCGTGAACAAACACCTTGCTGAGTCACAGGCTCATCCAAGTGAGTATCAGCCAGATAAAAAGAAAGCTTTACACTTCATCAAGCTCTGATATCTGCTATGATATTTCACAGAACTGATAGTTAATAATGATGTGGTGGAATCCTATTTTAACAAACACAGTTTTCACATTCAGTTTTGAAGGAGGACACTGCCATGCGTTGGCCCATATTCACATTACTAACGTGGGGAAAATGAATTTTGATGGTAAGACCCATATTTAGATACCAAAACCAACCTCGTTGCCGTCAAGTCGATTCCGACTCCTAGCAGCCGTAAAGGACAGAGTAGAACTGTCCCATAGGGTTTCTTTCCAAGGAGCCGCTGGTGGATTTGAACTGCCAGCCTTTTGGTTAGCAGCCGAGTTGTTAACACTGCACCACCAGGGCTCCATATATAGATACATATGTCCATATACGAATATATATGTATATTCAATATCAGACGTGTTCCTATTTCCTTGTCTATTAGAAGTCATTTTATTTTTAAATGAAGAGATTCTTCTTCAGGATTGCATTCGGTGTGCACAACTGATCTGTCTAAATCTGATGGTCAGCACAAAGCATCTTCTGGTTGTAAGATATTTTACAGCTAACAAAGCACTTTCCATACCTCTTCTCTCTGGAATTAACAATCTTGCCTAAGACTGAGGGTGGGCATGATTACTCTTCTTTGACAGTTGAGGAAATAGGAACCCAGAGAGGTGAAGCAGGCTGCTTCAGTTGACACAGCTGTAAAGTGATGAGCCTAGGACCATGCCTGGTGGTCTTGCCCGAGTGCTGGCTAACGCAGGTGAAGACACAGTGCACCACGAACTGCGAGCTGCTTTTCCTAAACCAAGCAGGTGCTGTGGTGTTTGGAGGTGGTTTTGCTACTCTGTCACAAAAACTAGGATCTTTACCAGGTGTTGACAGGTGCCTATCATGTGGTACCTCAGCAAGCTCAGCCAACAGACAGAAGCACTTTTTACAACTCTAATATATATATATACACACACATCTATAAGAAGATTCATAATATGTATTTAAAATATATTTCTATATTACCAAGACACTATATTGGGAAATAAGTTTAATTTTTTTCAAGAGCATTCTCTACTCGTATAATTATTTCAGGAAAGGTAACAAACCAGGAATAAATACAGTCTGGGCACAATTTATCTCTGCAGGTGTCCTGGAAACTACAACCCTTTCCCTTTTGCCTTATTCTGCTCACTCCCACTTTTGACTGTTTACAGATTCCTTTACACACTGGCACATTCCTGGAGGATGAGGACTGAGCGATGTTTCTTTGAAGCTGACGCCTCTTACACGGGGGGCCTAGCCCAGTGCTGTGCACATTGCAAGCATTCAGCGCACATTTGCTGAATAAATGCATATGGTTTTTATAAACATCAGTTTGGCTGAAGCTGGATTCTACCTGTAGCATTTTGCTAAAGAGTTTTGGATTTGTAACAAAACTTCACTTTCATAGTAAACAGTATTTTTAAAAAGCGTAAGAAACATGGTAATAAATTTAATACAAATTATGCATTGTAACTACTCTTTGGTTATTTTTCAACAATTTTTTTTTTTTTTTTTTACTAAAGTGAAGTACTAAAATATAAAAAAGCAACTACAGAAATTAGCTTAATCTGTAAACATAATAAACCCTGTAAACGTGTATTTACTACTTAATTGTGCAAGTGTGAAGAACGACTAGGAAGGGCCAAGTACTGTACGCTGAGCTTTGTTCTTCAAAGCGACTTAGAATTCCTGCTTCATGGGGCTTTACTTTAATGTTTGAGGAAGGAATTCTTCTAACCACACGAAAACCTGAAAACGTGGTGACTTATGTCAAGGAACCATAAGGATATATAGGCAAGAGGAAAGCTTCAATACTTTTCACTCATTGTGGTTTTGAACTTGATTCACATATCTTATGAATCACTTTGTTCAGTAAAACTACATATTAACAAAAGTCAAATACTTTTAAAATGAAGAAGTAAACAGTTTTCTGCAATTGGATCAGTTGACTAAAAATATAGGTAACACACTTTACAAAGTTTTTCCACAAATCTGGGCAGTAAGGTGCGTTAGGCATGTCTACATTATAATAAATAGCTGCAAGCAGCACTAAAGAGATTGCCGTTGACTCAACAGTAACTTATTTTTTTCTCCAAATTTCAGTTTTTCTTCTCAAGAAGCATCCAACTTTTCACACATAACACTTATCACAAATATTTCACAGTTAGAATTTCAGTAGTTTAAGAAAGAACTGCCTGGCAATTGCTGTAAAAGAGGTATATGTTAAGAACAAAACTCACTACTTCAGGACACAGGACTTGCATACCCTGTAGTGTGACTCTGAAGATACAAAGAAACAACCGTGTAAATACAATGCAGTATGTAAAGTGACTGAAATGACGGTTAAGCTGTCATACTCCGTCTCCTCATGCTTAGATATGATTTTCTCAAGTATCTGGGAAGAATCAATGGCCAAGTTTTTAGGAGTTCCCTGGAAAATTTAAGTGAAGATTTTGTTTCTAAAACATTTTGGCAGTAAAACATGGTAGATGGTTATGTGTAACCTAATCAACCCCATCAAAACCCTGAGTGTTCTCAATTGCCATCTGAAGTTTATCCCATAATTCTTCAAATGATTCATATGGCGGCAAGTCCAAGCGATTGAAGCTGAAAGAAGAGAGAGCAACTGGTTATGAGGGTCACTGACAAGGCGAGTGTCACCGCGCAAGACAGTGATGCTCATGTCTGTGATGAGGCCACGTTCCACACCAACAGATGCCTCATCCCCAGGGGAGAAGACACAAAACTGGGCTCTGGGCACGGACTCTCCATGACTCCTTGCTGGATCTTTCTGCACCCTCCTCAACATCCAACTGGCTGGGTTCCTCCGCCATTTTAACCTCCAAAAGTGAATGTTCTGGCCTCTCTTGGGACAGCTCCACGCTCATGCCTTGAAGGCTACATATGGTCAACAGTTGAGATGGGCCTGTCCAATATTCAGCCACCTGGACTTCAAGACCAGGTCTACCTGATAAAGAAAGGTCCATCCCTGGGTTACTGCCGCTGCCTCCTCCTCACCCATAGCTGCCACTGACATATCACAGAGGGGCCAGAACTCCCCCGCCGCCTCTGCATCTGGACCACCTGTTAGCAACTGCTTACCAGGTATGAGCTCTTGGTAGCTTGTCAGGGGTACCCCACTGTTCAACTGTAAAAGACTGTGGTCCATTTGAGCCTAAAAGAAAAAAAGAGTTTCTCTGGTTTCATGTACTCTATACAGGAATCCCTAGGCATTTCAAAACTCACTTTTTCCAGTTTTTCTAATGGAAACTAATTTGGTTCTTTAAACTCAAAAGAAGTGAAGGCTGACCTGTGCCTGCTGGCTTCATCGTCCAGCCTTAAATGAGTGGTCCCCTTCCACCAGTCCATTTTTACCACTACCCCACTCTGCCCTGCGGGCAGCGTGTCTGATGATACTTTTTTTTTTCCTCTAAATTTTATTTAGTTTGTTGTTGAGAACACACAGCAAAACACACCAATTCAACAGTTTCTCCATGTACCATTGAGTGACACTGATTACATTCTGAGCTGTGCAAACATTCTCACCCTCCTTTTTCTGAATTGTTCCTCCCTCATTAACATAAATTCACTGACTCCAGTTTCCTATCTAGTTCTTTGAGTTGCTTTTGTCAATTTGATCCCATACAGATAGTTCTTAAAAGAGCATAATGCTCAAGGCAGACATTTTTTAGTAGTCAACCTAAACTACTGTTTGCTTTTAAGATGACTTCAGGAGATGTTTTTGGTGTAAGGTTTAAAGATTATCTCAGGACAAGTTTCAGGGAGTCATTCACCCTCCATGACTCCACAAAGTCTAGAGTCTATGAGAATTTGAAATTCTGTTCTGCATTTTTCCCCTCTGATCAGGATTCTTCTATGGAATCCTTGGTCAAAATGTTCAGTAATGGTAGCCAGGCACCATCTAATTCTTCTGGTCTCATGGCAAAGGAGTCAGTTGTTCATGGAGGCAATTAGCCACACATTCCATATCCTCCTCCTATTTCTGACTCTCCTTCTTCCTCTGTTGCTCCAGGTGAACAGAGACCAACTATTGAGCCTTGGATGGCTGCTTGCAAGCTTTTAAGATCCCAGGCACTATGCAACGAACTTGGAGGTAGAAAAGAAGCACTAAACACGTTATCAGGCAATTAACTGGGATGTCCTATGAAACCATGACCCTAAACTTTCAAAGCAAGGAACCAGATTTTGCTGTTCCTAGCCCTGCGCACAACTGTATTCCCATATTCTGTTCCCTTCATAGGTGCACAGAGAAAATGCGCATTGTCTTTCTTTTTTGAATTGTACTGAAAATGGCCTTAATTTTTTCTCCTTACATAAATAATACAAAAGTCCCTGGGGGGGCGCAAACAGTTAAGCACTTGACTACTAGCCAAAAGGTTGCCGGTTCTAATCCACCCAGAGACACCTCAAAAGAAAGTCCTGGCAATCTGCTTCCAAAAGGTCACAGCCTTGAAAATCCTATGCAGCAGTTTTAGCCTGCACATGTGGGATCGCCATGAGTTGGAACTGACTCGACGGCAGTGAACGACAACATAAATAACAGGTGTTTGCTGTAAAAAATTAAAGTGGTACAGAAAAACACAGTGAAGGACGTGAAAATCGCCTCGGAGCCCACCATCTTGGTACACAGCACTAACTTCTGGGTGGACATCCTGTCATGCATCTTTTTGTGCGTGTGATCATGTTATACACACATGCTACTTTTTTTAATATTATGGATACTTTTAAAACTATCTTTTTTTTTTTTTTTGTGGAGTTTTCACTTAGCTCTTTGCTCTCTAATTCTCAACACACCCCTAACCAGCCAGGTCATCAGTGTTAATAATCCAATATATAACCTGCCATACTTTTCTGTCTTCTGCTGTTGTGTTAGGTGCTGTCGAGTCGGCTCTGACTCATAGTGACCCCATGCGCAACAGAATGAAACGCTGTCCAGCCCTGTGCCATCCTCACAAATCGTTGTTATGCCTGAGCCCATTGTTACAGCCACTGTCTCAATCCATCTTGTTGGGCATCTTCCTCTTTTTTGTTGGACCTCTATTTTACCAAGCATGCTGTCCTTCTCCAGGGACTGATCCCTCCAAACAACATGTCCAAAGTATGTGAGACATAGTCTCACCATCCTTGCTTCTAAGGGGCATTCTGGTTGTACTTCTTCCAAGTTAGATTTGTTCCTTCTTCTGGCAGTCCAGGGTATATTCAGTATTCTCTGCCACTACCATACTTCAAATGCATCAATTCTTCCTTGGTCTTCCTTACTCACTGTCCAGCTTTCACATACATATGATGCAACTGAAAACACCACGGCTTGGGTCAGGCGCAGCTTAGTCTTCAAGGTGACATCTTTGCTTTTCAACACTTGAAAGAGGTCTTCTGCAGCAGATTTGTCCAGTGCAATGCGTCGTTAGATTTCCTGACTGCTGCTTCCATAGGTGTTGACTGTGGATCCAAGGAAAACGAAATCCTTGACAACGTCAGTCTTTTCTTCGTTTATCATGATGTTGCTTATTGGCCCAGTTGTGAGGATTTTTGTTTTCTTTATGTTGAGGTGTAACCCACACTGAAGGCTGTCGTCTTTGATCTTCATCAGTAAGTGCTTTCAAGTCCTCTTCACTTTCAGCAAGCAAGGTTGTGTCATCTGCATAATGCAGGTCGTTAATGAGTCTTCTTCCAATCCTGATGTCCCGTTCTTCTTCATATAGTCCAGCTTCTCGGATTATCTCCTCAGCATACAGACTGAATAAGTATGGTGAAAGGATACAACCCTGATGCACACCTTTCCTGACTTTAAACAATGAAGTATTCCCTTGTTCTGTTCAAACGACTACCTTTTGATCTATGTACAGGTTCCTCAAAAGCACAATTAAGTGTTCTGGAATTCCCATTCTTTGAATGTTATCCATAATTTGTTATGATCCACACTGTCAAATGCTTTTGCATAGACAACAAAACACAGGTAAACATCTTTCTGGTATTCTCTGCTTACAGCCAGGATCCATCTGACATTAGCAATGATATCCTTGGTTCCACATTCTCTTCTGAATCTGGCTTGGATTTCTGGCAGTTCCCTGTTGGTATACTACTGCAGCCGCTTTTGAATGATCTTCAGCAAAATTTTACTTTTGGGTGGTATTAATGATATTGTTCAATAATTTCCACATTCGGTTGGATCGCTTTTTCTTGGGAATAGGCAGAAATATAGATCTCTTCCAGTCGGTTGGCCAGGGAGCTGTCTTCCAAATTTCTTAGCATAGATGAGTGAGCACTTCCAGCGCTGCATCCATTTGCTGAAACATCTCAATTGATGTTCCGTCCATTCCTGGAGCCTCGTTTTTTGCCAGTGCCTTCCGTGCAGCTTGTACCATCGGTTCCTGATCGTATGCTACCTCCTGAAATGGCTGAACGTCGACCAATTCTTTTTGGTTTAGTGATTCTGTGTATTCTTTCCATCTTCTTTTGATGCTTCCTGTGTCGTTTAATATTTTCCCCGTAGAATCCTTCACTATTGCAACTCAAGGCTTGAATTTTTTCTTCAGTTCCTTCAGCTTGAGAAATGCTGAGCATGTTCTTCCCTCTTGGTTTTCTACCTCCTGTTCTTTGCACATGTCATTATAATACTTTACTTTGTCTTCTCAAGCCAGCCTTTGAAATCTTCTATTCAGCTCTTATTACTTCATCATTTCTTCCTTTTGCTTTAGCTACTCTACATTCAAGGGCAAGTTTCAGAGTCTCTTCTGACATCCATTTTGGTCTTTTCTTTCTTTCTTGTGTTTTTAATGACCTCTTGCTTTCTTCATGTATGATGTCCCTGAAGTCATCACACAACTCGTCTGGTCTTTGGTCATTAGTGTTCAGCGTGTCAAAACTATTCTTGAGATGGTCTCTTAATTCAGGTGGGATATGTTCAAGGTTGTACTTTGGCTCTCGTGGACTTGTTCTAATTTTCTTCAGTTTCAACTTGAATTTGCATATGAGCAATTGATGGTCCGTTCTGCAGTTGGAACCCTGGCCTTGTTCTGACTGATGATATTGAGCTTTTCCATTGTCTCTTTCCACAGATGTATCTGATTTGATTCCTGTTCTGGCAAGGTCCACGTATGTACTCACCGTTTATGTTGGTGAAAAAAGGTATTTGCAATGAAGAAGTCACTGATCTTGCAAAATTCTATCATGCAATCTCCGGCAGAGTTTCTATCACAAAGGCCATATTTTCCAACTACTGATCCTTCTTCTTGGTTTCCAACTTTCGCATTCCAATCACCAGTAATTATCAGTGCATCCTGATTGCATGTTTGATCAATTTCAGCTGCAGAAGTTGGTAAACATCTTCAATTTCTTCATCTTTGGCCTTAGTGGTTGGTGCGTCTTATAATCATATCCAAATGTATGTGTGTATATAATTGCCAGAAACAGCACAAATATACTTAATATTTGCAATATTAAAGTTTCTCTCAAAAAGCATTGCGTTTCACACATCACCCATCACCGTTATGTTCACTTAAAATTTCAGTACTGCTGTCACTGGTTGGCTTCCGTAATATGGAGTCATCATTACAAATATTTTTGTCTCTTGATTCACTCACCTAAACAATCCATCATAAAAATCCCTCTAAGTCAACTGACATAAACTTAACACTATTATGGGCTATATAATATTGCATTGTAATATTAACATTTTGGAGCAACACATTATTAGGCCAATTAACTGGGATATCCAGTGAACCCATGAAAAAGTCAGCTTAGCAGCTACCCAGGCAGCCATCCCTGACCTGTAGTTCCTAGAACAATTCTGTTCTTCTTACTTGTTGCTCTGAGTAAGTCTCCAACCTTAGCTAGCCCTTTTCAAAACAATGTGTTCTTACTGATAGCTTTGAAAAGTAAATGTCACCCCAATAGACTATTAACCATCCTAAGAAAGCCCGCTATGATCTACTTCAGAAACAGCACTTTGTTTTTTTTCAAAACACACCTCTAGTGTTATGATGTAAATCAACAGGAAAATAGTTTGAGAGGATATACAGAATTTCACTTTATAGGAAACTGCATGAATGTTAACTATTCTGAATCTCAAGAGACTTGGGCAGTGTGGCCCCCAGTCCAGCCTTTCTGCAACAGGCTGAAGAGATCCTCCATCCCTCCACCCCAACTAAAAAAAAAAATTCCATGATCAAACAAGTTTTAGAAACTTTGCATTTTATTTTCTTAGAAAAACAAGTCCCAAAGAAATCTATTTAACTTTGCTTAGTCCAGCACTTTGCATCCTACCAGAAAACTCCGGGTTTTCTGTTGTACACTCGTTAACATTCTGTGGGACCTTAAACGTCGCCCTGAACTACACGCAGCAGAGGCCCTGCTTTTCTGCAGTGGAATGCACAGTGGGGTAGAATCTGAAGTTCAAGAACAGAAACAACTCAGGATACTGCATATTTCCGGTTTCCCTCTTTACTGTCTGATTAAACAACCAGCTGCCTTTGAGTCACTTCTGACTCACGGTGACCCCATGTGTGTCAGAGTAGAACTGTGCTCCATGGGATTTTCAGTGGTTTTTCAGAAGTAGATCACCAGGCCTTTCTTCTGAGGCACCTCTGGGTGGATTCAACCTCCAACCTTCTGGTTAGCAGCCAAGTGCGTTAACCATTTGCACCATGAAGGACTTCTCATCATCTGATTCGAAAATGTAAGTGTATTTTGGCCTACTTCTGTGTATCTAATTACATTGTTAAAAAATCTTAATTCTTTTTTTTAAGATAGATGTTTATATAAATGATAGAAACGTAAAGAATAATCAGCTACAAAAAAGGCAATTGGCATCCCTCCCTTTTCTTATGATCTGTGGAAGCTCCTCACCACACAGTTCAGCAAATCCATTCAAAGGCACACGGGACGTGCCAGTGACAAACTGGAGCAAGCGTATTCTTCTTTCTGAATCCATCATTAAAACAGCCTGAATAAGATAAAAACAGCGTTCAGGGACAATCTGTCATTGGAAAAAGGTAACAGAGTTATCCTGAGAAACGTGCTATAGGAACTGAGTTATAGATTAATAATCACTTGTGAAATCTGCACGCTTCTTTTAGTTAAATTTGTGTTTATGGGTGGTTTGCTTATTTCTTGGTTGAAACTTTACTTCTAAGGCTATAAGGCAACTGTTTAGAATGGGATCATAGCATAATAAAGTGACAAAAATACCTCTCTCAGATGACTCGCGGCTTTTCAAAAGTCGCATTTATTGATATTATTGCATGGCATACAAATTTCTTTATAAAACAGACAATCCCATTGAAAGGGGCCAGGCAGGAGCCCCAGAGAATAGACTCCTGGTTAGCATCACAGCTCTGTGAGAGGCTTTTTCCTTTATACGGAACCAAGCACCTATCTCATTGCCACTGACTTCATGCTGAACCTTTTACTTACTTATCTACAAATATGGACAGAGCATGAGGCCATACCCAGAGGGTAGATGTATCAGTACACGTCTTAGTACAAAACCAAAGGGAAGTTTTGTGGGGTTATATATTTTTCTGTATTATCCACATATAATCTATTAGTGTAGATGATCAAGAGCTTACTTTAAATACGACTGAATCTATCAGAAAGTAATTTACGAAACAGAGCTTTCAATCACCTTCCAGAACCACTGTACGACCTGATGGTTTGCACTGTAGTTGTTCTTATACTTCGTGTGTTCTCGCCAGTCATTCACATCCACATCTGCCAATCCACACATAAGAAGCTACATAAATCAGAAATGCCAAACTGTAAACAAGAAAAATAACAGGTACAAAATTCCTGTTTTAAAATGAAAATAGTCTTTTCTTACCTCTAGTTCATTTTCATCAAAAATTTTGATGAGATCCTGTGGTATTAGTTCAAAAAACCCCTAGAAGAAAAATGCGTTTAAAAACCTGGTTAGCACGGTCAACGGACAGTCCTATGCTTCAGCTCCTGGGTGCTACTGGAGAAATCCCATCTCCGTATAGATTTCTACCACTACAGATTCATGGGCTTTTAACTCAACCAAGACCTTGGTGTTGGCAAGACAATGTATGTGTCCATAGTCTGTTCTCTCTCGCTTATTCCTCAAACTGGCCATTTTAAAACATCCCCACACTTCTCAAGCCTCCTTCTCCTCCGTATCGCCCCTTCCTTACAGCAGGTGATTTCTATTCAAGAGAGAAAACAAAGGCAATTATGCCAGATGGAGCTCTCTCGACCTGCTGCACCTCCACATACTGACCAGCACCAGAGACCATCCAGCCTCCTTCCCACCGCCGTGCAGGACAGCAACCAGCTCCCTTGTCAGGCTGGTCCCTCCATCTGGGCCTCTTCTGCTTCCTCAGGAGGTCCCCTCACTAAACCTCCTTCTCTTAACTTACTCACTCCTCAGCCATTTCAATTTGTTCATGTCATATCACCTCAAAAAACAAACACAAAACCAAACACCCTGCTCTCCGTCCCCCACAGCCAAGGTTCTTGACAGTGTTATGCACTTACTGAATCCACCTGTTCCCCTTCAATTTATCCTGTACCCCACGGCAAGCTAACCCCAGGCCTCTGCTGCCTGAGACTGTTCTGGAAAAGTCAGACACCTTGTGGCTAAATCTAATGAACCCTTTCTGGTTCCTTATCTTATCTGACGTCTCTGCAGTAGGATATTGGTGGGAACACTTTCTCCTTCCTTATCCTGACGTCTCTGCAGTAGGACATTGGTGGGAACACTTTCTCCTTCCTTATCCTGACGTCTCTGCAGTAGGATATTGGTGGAAACACTTTCTGGTTCCTTATCTTAT